TGCTGAGCCTATGCCCTTAATAGATAGCGATCTACACAAATTTCATGACTCTTCCTTCTTTTCAGAGATTGATATTGCGCAGGCATATCATCAAGTAATGTTAGATCCTTCTTCTAAGCAGTATGCCGCTTTTCCTACACACCAAGGACTGATGCAATATAGAACTATGCCCTTCGGTTTGGTAACTGCCTGTGCTACCTACGTGAGACTGATGAGAAAGGTCTTGGGTAATATGCCAAATGTTTCAGTTTATTTTGATAACATTTACGTAATGACATCCACGTGGGGAGAACATATCCAAACATTAACATCAGTTTTGCGTAGGTTACACTCACATGGCCTCGCTGCCAAGCCGAAGAAATGCTTCCTTGGGTATAACAAGATTAGACATATTGGACTGATACTTTCTAATAACACTCTGCAGCCTCTCCCCAGTAAGATCAAAGCTTTATTAGAATTTAAATTCCCCAAAACCAAGAAGCTCATGTGAAGCTTTCTTGGTTCTGTAAATTTTTATGCATGGTTTATCCTGAACCTTACTGATCTTACAGGTATCTTATCAGACTTCCTTAAAAAGTCTGTGAAGGAACCTCTTGAACTTTCCGACGTAGCTCAGGAAAAGTTTAATGAGATTAAAAGCATCTTTTCGAAAGACCCTATACTTAAGATTCCAGATATTAATAAAACATTTTGTTTGAGAACTGATGCCTCCAATACTGGCTTAGGTGCGGTGTTACTACAATACCATGATGGTACTCCCTTCCCTGTATGCTTCCTAAGCCGGAACTCCTTCCCGCAGAAACAAGATACTCCACAATAGAAAAGGAATGTTTTAGCCCTGTGTGGGGTATCATCCAAACTTAAATTTTATTTGCTGGGAAAAGAATTCATTTTAGAAACGGACCACAAGCCTTTGATATACCTAGAAACTTTTAAGGGAACCAACAGTCGCCTCTTGAGGTGGACATTGGCACTCCAGGCTTTTAAGTTCCATATTGTGTATATCAATGGTTCATCTAATTATTTCTCTGACTGGTTAAGGCGTGACAGTCAGTAGAAGATTTCTTGCCTTACGTGACTTCCACATGTTAGAACTTTTTCCTCGCCTATTCTTCTTATACTCCTTGACTATAAGTCTTGGTATGGGGGAGTGTGAGGGAAAAGTTCAATAGATAGGAGTAGCAAGGGAGTATATATTAATAATAGTTTCATTGCCGGCTACTTGTTAAGGTAGGGTAAATCAAGCTCCCGCTATTCCCGCCTTTTTCTCCCCCTCCCCGAAAGTGATAGTTTGACTGCCAGCTGCTTGTTAAGGTAGGGTCAGTCTAGCTCCCGCTATCCCTTCCCCTCCTTCCCTCCCCCCGAAAGGTGACGTGTGGGGCTCTGGTCAAACAGTAAATCACTCGGCTCATAGCTCCCAACACTACTGTAAGTACATGCCTGCCTTGTATTCTAGTGGATTTATTGGTTGAAAGCTTCACTTTTTGACCAATAATAAACTTAGTCTTTTCAGCTTGCTCTAAATGACTGTTGTAATAATCACCATGTCTTTTAGGTATTGTACTTATGGAGAGTGATTATTTAAGCAGTGGGTAACCTGTCTATCTTTTCAGCTTGGATGACAGAGAGGGTCACCTGTCAATCAACGAGAAGAACGAATGGAGATGGACTAACGTCCTGAGACGTCCCCTTTTTGGATTTATTTACCTGTGCACCTGTATGAAATTGCAGGATGTAACCCCTCATCATTGCAGTGGTAAAGAACCTGCTTTCCTGTCATCAGGATATAATACTCAAGGCCCTATCTACTGTGAAGAACTAGCCAGTGGGTCGTAACCAACACCTGCGACCCCCCCCCCCGCCATCATCAGCAACGGCTACGATTTCAACAGTGTCACCAACACCAGACACCCCTATATATATTAGCGTTGAATTCAGTTATCATATATATTTTTCATTTTTCATTTTCTTTAATGTAGGATTAATATTTCATATTTAAGTGTTTTATATTTTATATTTTCTATATAATAAAGTGTTTATGTTTGTCTGTTTTTATTTCTTTTTCTATTCACTAATTTTCCTGAGGAGGAGCTAGCCTTGGTAATACTGTCTGAAGTTGTTACAGGGCTGAGTAAGCCTTCACAACCATCTATCTCAAACAAACTTCCTACTTTATGATTATGTTCTTGCAAAAAACACACATCCACTGCAAAGCGATTCAACCACTCACATACCTGCACACACTTTTTGAGAGTTTTCAAACCATTAACATTAATAGTTACACACCTAACTTTTCCAAAGGAGGCTTTCCTCTAGGGGCCACCACACCCTTTTTCTCTTTGCATCGGCAAGCACCTAAGGCACCGCCTGTACCTTTGGCATTCTCTGTGATATTACCTGCTGTCCCGGATCTGCGCGACCCCCCACCCATGATTTCCGACCACGTCTTCTTCCCTGAACGTTGTCCAGGGGTCAAGACGTCGTCGGAGTCGGACGGGGTAGCTGCACGTTTCCTAGAAACAGCATCCTCAGTTATGTCGGTACCTGGGATGTTCTCCTTGTGAATATCTACCTCAACAGTATGAACTCTCGGACCCTCCACATCTCGCACGCTAACTAACTGATCAGCATCATCCCAAACGTACTCTCTCCTCACCTGAACACTTCAACAAAGGCAAACATGGCACAGAATCATACTCATGCGACGCTAAAAGGTTGCTCAATGTAGATACAATATTAGCCTCTATGTCATCCACCTCTCTTGATAGAGGGATCTCACTTCTCATGTGTTCCACCTCATCATGGGAGACAGTCCCAGGTAGAGTCACACAAGATGACTACTAGCATGGCCCGATCAACCTCAGCACTCCACGATGTCAGGCGCGGCAAGTCCCCTACGACTTCGTTTTCCGGAGTCTGACAGGGAACCTCGCCGTCCGGACGACGACCACGTCCCGAGGGCGGCTGGCACTGAACACATTGTGCCGTGATGTGATCCAAAGCGCCGCAGAGGTGGCAAGTTCGTCTCTGTCCAGGATACATAACGTACACCTGGGAACTAAAATCCTCCAGGTGTACGTACGAAGGAATTGGCTGGCGTAGGGACATTTTCAAAGTGAAGGACCCCTCTTGAAGACCAGCATAGAGGCCGTCAGACCATCGACCCATAGTAATCTGGTGGATCTTCCCATAACGTTCAAAAGCGTCACGTATGTCGACTTCATTGGCCTCAAAAGGCACGTTTCGCACACGTGCCCATGTATAGTATCGTGAAACGTCGTGCAACTGAACAGTGACTGCTGGGGTGACTTGCTTACTTACATCCTGGTACTGTAGATGAATGGTTCAGAGAACCGACATGTTGATAAATTAGACACATGTGCAGCTCTAATTTATCATCATCCTGGTACTGGTTGACAATCTTCTCATAGGTCTGAGTATCACAAAACTTGACGAAAATCCGGGAAAGTCCATTCAAGGCGATGCGACACAGGGATTCACGCTGGATGCCATATGTATCACGAATGATTGCTGGCACTAACACAGTAATCGATGCGCTGGTGATTGTGCCCCGTATTAGTTCAATACAAACAGTATTAACTCTCCGGCAAAAACCAGTCGCCATTGTTGTTGATGCATCCACAGTAGCTATTATGAATCTAGCAGCTACCATGAAGTTAGATACCAAGATGATATCTATCAAATATAGTAGCTACTGTTAAAGTAATCTCCATGATGATGGCTTTCATGAATTTAACAGCTACCATGAAGTCAGTTAAAATGATGGTAGCTATAAAGAATAAAGGGAATTTTATGAAGGTAGTTACCATGATAGTGACTATCATAAATGTAACAGCTACCATGACAGTAGCCATCATCATGGTAACTATCACGAATACAGAATCCATTATGAAGGTAGTTATCATGATGATAGCAATCTTCAGTATAGGAGCTACCATGAATGTAGTTACCATGATGCTGGTTATCATTAATATGACAGGCACAATGAACGTTGTTACCAAGTTGTTAGATATAATGTATCAGGTACCACGAAGGTAGTTACCATGATGGTAGCTATCATGAATATATCGGCTACCATAAAATTAGTTACCATGACGGTAGCTCTAATAAATATAGCAGCTACCATAAAGGTAGTTATCATGATGGTAGCCAGCCATCATGAATAAAAGAGCTACCATAATTATGGTTACCATGACAGAATCGTGAAAATACCAGGTATGATGAAGGTAGCTACCATGAAGGTAATTACAATGATGGTAGCTCTCATGAATATAGCAGCTACCATGAATGTCGCTAAGATGGCGATAACAATATAACAGCAACCTGGAAGCCAGTTACCATGGTGGTCCGTATAATGAATATAACAGCTACCCTGAAGGTAGTTATCACGATGGTAGTTATCATGAATATAGCAGCTACCATGAAAGTAGTTACCATGAAGGTAACTACCTTGATTGAAGTTATCAGGACTATCGCATCTACCATGATAGATTTTTCCATGTAGATAGGTATCATGATTATAGCAGCTACCATGAAAGTTGTTATAATGATTGTAGCAGTAATGAATATTAGAGCTACTATGAAGGTAGTTACAATGATGAAAGCCATCATGAATAAGCCGGCTACCATGAAGGTAGCAACAATGATTGTAGCTATCATTGATAAAGCTGCTACCGAGAAGGTAGTTACCATGGTGGTAGTTATCGTGAATATGGTAACTACCATAAAGTTAATTACCATGAGGGTTGTGATCAGGAATATAGAAGCTACCATGAAGGTAGTTATCGTGAATATAAGAGATACTATGTAGTTACAATGAATAGCTGCTACCATAAAGTTATAGGAGATACCATGAATTTTGTTATAGTGATATTAGCTATCGTGAATATGGCAGCTACCATAATGATAGTTGTGATGATGGGAGCTATGATGAATATAGCTGCTACCATTAAGAGGATAAGGACACAAGTAACAGACACTCACAAGTATAAGCGACAGTTGAGTGTTGTCTTAGCCAGGGTGACCAGCTGGTCCCACTGGTATTGTGTGATGCTGCCTCTGGTGATAACTTCAAACACAGTCTTCATCTTAACACTGTGGTGATGCAGGCGATGGATCATGTCTTGGATGCCCACCACTGTTACTGTGCTGCTCTCACACTCGATCCTCCAGTACCTGTTGATGATGACACAACTGTTGTTGTCTGTTGATCTACAACACTACCACATTCACTGTTAAAACCATCACAACCACCGGAACCACCATCGCTGCTGCAACCACCATCACCGTTGCAAGCACCACAGCCACCACTACCATGAAAGTTGTCACCATGTAGCATTCATGAATATTATAGCTACCATGAAGGAAACTACCATAATTATGGTAACTCTTTTATTCATGATGGCTGGCTGCCATCATGATAAATACTTTCATGGTAGCTGCTATATTAATGGTAGCTGCTATATTCCTAAGAGTCATGGTAACTAACTTTATGGTAGCCGATACATTCATCATAGCTACTGTGGCATGCAAAGAGTTCGTTACACTTTATTCATCTTATGTACACACTTCCATATAGGCTTCCTCCTAACCAGCAAACCGGGTGCTAAAGATTTAACGATCTTACGGGGCCCCATCGTTAAATCAGTACCTTGTTTCATTAATCAATCATAAGGTCGGTCTGACAATTGCTGAGGTGATGTGGTATCACTCACGATCAGCTCTTGCCAGACTAATACAGCTGCTGGTTGCCACATTTCCTTTTGCTTTGGCTTTGTTTTTGCCTGATAACCAGTGACACCTTGTAATTCATTCTTGCACATGGTACAAAGCGTATATTCTATCAATACTTGGTGAAGGAAAATACAAGTTCATTATTACTACACTGTGTTTATTTTTTCCCAAACCCATTACGACCGGTCAACAGCCCCAATCATTCCGTTTTTGGGAAATTGGGGAAACACTTTTCAGGGCTGGAGCTGGGTGGACGGGAGCGGGGACTGGGCTGAGCTAGTTTTAACGTTCAGTACCCCTTTTTATCACACAGCACTGCGTTACCTTTTCACGCTATTTAAATTGCATGTCAGCCTTGCACGTTTTTGCTATTGTGGTCAGCCTTGCTATTTGAGGGTATGTTTATCCAACAGTTGTACGTAATTTTTTTTGGTATGTATTGAAAAACAGCATTTTATTTGGGGGGTTAATGCCCTACACGAGTCAGGTGATTGGTGTCGAATTTCATTATATATCTACTAAAAAACCTCTCTACAGCGTTTTTGGGCAAATTGCTCCTTCTTTTTGGTATAAAAGTATCAAAACACTCTCACTGCTGAGCACTTCTACATTATTTGTACAAATTGAGAGCTGAAGAACATGGTGTACCAAACGAGGTAGGGTTCATTTGTTAGGGGGGTTTAATTTGTGAGGCCCTGTTTAGTATAGGCCCAAACAGGCCTCTGCAGTGTTCCCCTTCTTATTTTTCTTATCCCCTTTAAGGAGCCTCTAATCGCAAATTTCCCCGGTCAGGTTCCTTTGTAATGGGGAGAAAAAAAACCCAAAACCAGACCACATCTTGTGAAGCAGCAAAGCATCAGGTTTTTAAGGGCGAGTCTGCTTAATTGGCGCTTGGTTTTGCCAAACTCAATCTTTAAAAAACAGGAGCAGCAAGCATTTGCTAAGGAGGGGTTTTATAGAAGAAGGGGAAGGGGGCATTTTAAACAAACGGTGGATACTAAAGTCATCCACCATTTGCTTTTAAAATTCAGGCAGCTATTTTCCCGTTTTTTTGAAGCCGAGGCCGAATATCTTGTTTTAACAAAGACGACTACATCATTACGGGTGAGAAAACCATGGTTCTTCGGGTTTATCATTGTATCCCGCCAAGTACAGGAGGGAATTAAACTAGGCAAATGACAGCCGGGTCAGTTTCATTTTCGACTTTGTAAGGCAGCAGTCAAAAGCCTTTACCTCTGTAGATGACCCTGACTCAAGCACCCTATTCTGAAATTTAAGAAAAGCTTCCCAATTCTGCCCTCTCTTTAATGGTAGAGTGTTCTAAGAATCAAATAAAAAAGGTTAACTGCGCTCCTACAATCTTACCCTGATATCTTTTCGGAAGTTCCAAATAATGTACACTAAGATTCATGTAAATGTTGGAAATTCTAAACTTATTAAACTCTCCCCTGCAGAGCTAATCCTAAAAAACAAAGACTACTTCAGGCAGGAGGTAGCATTTCTACAAACTTGGGTTAGTGGAGGAGTTATCTAGTCTGTGAGCTTTCACCGTGTATCCTTGTTAGGAGGTGTGGGGGAGGTTTTCGAATGTGTACAGACTACCATAAGGTGAATGAGGTCATATTCCAGATGCTTACCCTCTGCCATGCTTGGATAACATAATAGACTTCGTGGGTAAGGCTACTTTTGTGTTCAAATTAGACCTCCTTAAAGGTTACTTTCAGATAAAGCAAAGAAAATCTCTGCCTTCATAATTCCAGGAAGTCATTATCAGCATACAATAACCCCCCTTGGGAAATGAAAAACTCACCGGCATCTTTCCAAAAGCTGATCCATCAGGCTATTAAAGAACTTGAAGGCAGGCTGCTTACCTAGATGACATTGCTGCTGTGACGGATACTTGGGACCAAATATGTCTAGACTTAAAGTTCTCTTCGAGACATTTCAGAATTTCCAATGCCAATTACTGTTAGTTTTTTGGGGGCCATGAAGTAGGTAGTGACAAAGTGGCCCCTAAATTTGCTAAAATTCTTGCCATTACAAATTATCCATTACCTCAGATAGGAAATCCCTCCAACGTTTTTTAGGTGTGGTAGGGTTTTATAGACGATTTTGTAAGAATTTCGCAGATGTTGTAGCCCCCCTAACCTCACTTCCCAGTCAAAATCCCGGGTACAGTGGACCCCAGATTGTAATGATGCAAAAAGCATCATTACAATGTCTATTTTGTACTGCACCCATTCTCTTGTCTCTTAATTTCTCAAAAAAACCCTTTACATTACAGGTTGATGCTTTTGAGTAAAGGGTGTGGGTAGTACTTCGACAATCTGGAGAAGATGCAGCCTGTGGCCCATTTCTCCAAACCCAAAAAATCATCTCACCAGAGGGCCTACTCCACAATTGAAAAAGAAGCCCTCGCTCTGCTACTGCATTAGAGCACTTTGAGGTCTTTTTGGGTCAGTTGTCTCAAGTGGTCACAGTCTACAGTAAACACAACCCTGAAGAACCACACCACCCATCTCAGCACTGGAAACTCAGGCTGCAACCTCACAAAATACAATTTACATGTTGTCCCTTTTAAAGATAAAAGCTGGCTGATTCTCATTCAAGAATTTAAAATTAAAATGTTTTGGTTAGGATGTGTTAGGGACTATGGGTAGAATAGATCTTTTTTTCCCCCTTTGTCTACATAAATTGGTTGTGGAGTTTGTTTTTAGAAGAGATATTCGCTATCGTCCGCAGGTATCTTGAACCTTTGTTAGTCCTACTGTCCAATGTCTTGCTCTAAGTTCAGAGTTTGACTTATGCCTCGAGAAAAGTTGAGCACTATCTAATGAGTTGGCCCCGGTTTGAGAGGAAAGGTTGTTCCATTATTATACCTTGCCATGGTGGCACCTACCCATGGAAGTGGAAGCCTAGTCCTGGCCATTAGAGCCCTTTTGGGGTGGGGGATGTGACATTTCAAAAAGTATGTTCGGCATATGTACACCTCCCATGCAGGCTGGGCCCCCCAACCCCAAAAACCCGGTGCTAAGGTTTAACAATCTTATGGGGCCCCATCGCTAAATCAGTACCTTGGTTCATTAAACCAATCATAAGGTGGGTCTACAATTGCGAGGTGGTGTGGTAATCACTCACGGTCAGCTCTGCCAGACTCATACAGACGCTGGTTTTCTTATGGTTCTCCCCTTGCTCTCTCGTTGGCTGTAGTCTTTAAAATGATACGGTGGTACGCTTATATTTCCCTTCTTGTACATGTGTACATAAGTGTATATTCTAAAAAATACTTGGTGAAGGAAAATACAAGTTCATTATTACTACTGCTGTGTTTTTTTTTCAGTTTCAAACCCATTATAACCAGGTCAACAGGCCAATAATTACCTGTGTGCATAATAGCTACCATCATGGTAACTACCTGACTTTTTGGGTTATCCTAGGTACTCTATACATATGCTGCTATGAATGATAATCTATGTATCTGTAATTGTGTACTCCTGAATAAACTTACATACTTACCATCATCACCACCACCACTACTACCACTACTACTACCACCACCATCACCACCAACACCATCAATCAGAAATCTCATCATTAACATTGAAAATAAGACCAGAACAACAGTGAAATGACTTATACAGTGAAATGACTTATACAGTGAAATGACTATACCTGCCCAGGTCAGTCAGGCGCGATGATCAGATGCCCTCACATCACGGCCTACATGCCAAGGATCAACATCCTTCCCGCCTATGGTCTGGCTTTCGGCCCCCCCCCCCCCTCACTCTTCCCGCTGAGTATCCACGTGTTGATTAATAAACACGTGTCAAGTCCAAGGCCGTTTCTTGCAACCCTTCCACACTACCCCTTCTAGTAACATTCAAATAAGCAGGCACTAAACCGCTGTACAGTGATAACAGCAATAACAGTTGTTTGCTCCTGGACAACCTCACAACACTAAAACAATAGTAAGGGACTTACCCTTCTGGTGGTTCTAGCTCCTGGATCACCTCACTCACAACACAAGAACAACAGTTATGAACTCACCATCCTGGTGGTTGTAGCCCCTGGACCAAATCACTCACAACATAAGAAAAAACAGTGATGGACTCACCCTCCTGGTGGTTGTAGCTCCTGGACCACCTCACATGTGAAGGACTCACCATCCACCTCACTCACAACACAAAAACAAGAGTGAAGGACTCACCCTCCAGGAGGTTGTAGTTTCTTGGACACCTCACTCACAACACATCAACAAGAGTGAAGGACTCACCCTCCTGGTGGTTGTAGCTCCCGGGCCAGGTCACATGCATGACTCACTATATCATCACTCACGTCAGTCAACTCCAGCTCCACCCTCTCCTGTGTGCTGGGTAGTGACGTTACTGCTGCTGCTGACACTGCTGCTGCTGACACTCTCACACCTGCAGTAATACATCATACTGTTACAATCCCCACCGTAGTGATACACCATACTGTTACCATAAAAAAATGTAGTAATACACCAAACTGACACCATAACCACTATAGTGGTACACCATATGGTCACCATCAACACTGTAGTGATGCACCATACTGTCACCATCACCACTGTGGTGGTACACAATACTCTCACCATCACCACTGTAGTGATACATTAAAAATTCACCATCACCACTATAGTAATATACCATACTGTCACCATCACCTCTGTAGAGATACACCATACTGTCACCACTAATGTAATATACACCATGCAGTCACCATTACCAGTGAAGAGTATATCATACAGTCACCATCACTACTGTATTAATACAGCAGGAACTCCCCATCAACACTTCAGTGGTTCACCGTACTATCACCAACACTGTAGTGATACACCATAACTGTCACCATCACCACCGTAGTGATACACAATTCTGTCACCATCACTACGGTAGTGATACACCATACTGTCATCATCACCATTTTAGTGTTACACAATACTGTCACCATCACTACTGTAGTGATACACCATCCTGGCACCATCACCACTCTAGCGATACACCATACTGTCACAACTACTTTAGTGATGCACCATGTCGTTACAGTCACAACTGTAGTGATACAAATTACTGTCACCATCACCTCTGTAGTGATACACAATACTGTCACCATCACTACTCTAGTGATACACCATACTGTCACCATCACCTTTGTAGTGATACACAACACTGTCACCATCACTACTTTAGTTTTTTTTTTATTTGAAATACAGTATACATTATACATGGAAGCAAAACACATGTCACTAAACCAATCAACATGTAACAACATAATTAAAGTACAACATACGTATACACAATCCAAAAAAGAAAAAGGAACACTTCACACAGGTATACCAACAACATATCCAGATAATCTACTTCAGCACACTTATACATCTTATGTCGTGAGGTAAAAACCTCACGACATACCATTAAAACCTATACATCCTCCCCCACCAAAGGTACATTTATAAAGTCGTACATATGTGCTCTGGAAGTAAAAAGGTACCTCCCCCCCCCCCTCATCAAATACCAACAAAACAATGACATACTATAAGAGCGCAGGATACTACTTGCTCTAAGTAATAATTATGAAAACTTTGCCTAGCATACAAGGATAATATACTCTATATCTCAACACGGGTGCAATCCACCCAAGACTTCTTCATACACTATATACCCTATAGCAGTATTAATACATGACATACACCGCTACTTGAACTCATATGCATACCTGCTCCAACAAAGTCTATCTAAAATTTTGTATTTACACAAAATCATATACATTTTTATATTACTTTACAGAATACTCTTACATGTGACTTGAAACATTAAAATAGCAAAGGTAAAGCAAACAAACAGCGTGTACTTAAAATATACAACACTGCCCTGCACCTACAGTGTCACACGACATGTACTATATGATCTTAACCAGCTTCTGAAACATTATATGTTAGGCCTTATGTGCCAAAATACAATCTACCATAATATTAAATACTGTGCCACGTTGCTCATTACAGCTATATTACACTTCCGACCTTTCCAATATACAGATATTGTGCCCTACAGAATGCTTCCTACAAGAAGGGAAACCCCGGACTTTGTATCACAGTATATTCTAAACAATCACATGGCATACCTTAGTAACACCACGTAGTATGTGCTTTCTAACTGGTTTCAAACGGTTTCGTTGGACAATAAAGCAGACTGTAAACGGATGGGGTTGTAGGCGCCCTTATAAACACAAACATTAAATATATACCAGGAACGTGCACGGTAAGCTGTCCAATATACAAAAACAGTTAGAAACAGAAATACAAATAGCTAGAGCTTCATTTAAGGAGGTTATTAATAGAATATTCAAGAGGTTGCTAGTAGAATTGCAGTAAATCAACCATTCAAACCATTATGAAGCTGTGTGTAGTCTGTGGTCAGTCAAACAAACGGGCTTCCACATGCATAAATTGTCATTTTTGTGGAAATTGGTGTCACCCCCTTGTGCAGATATCCAAAAACTAGCTACAAGCAGTATTAAAACAGGGAAGTGTTTTTGGGTATGCCCAAATGAGATAAAACTGTGGACTAAAATCACAAGGCTATTAAAAGAGGTCAACATCAAAGCTGCTTTCATAGAAAACCTGGAAGCTTTCTACAACAGATGGGAACATAAAAAGTCTGGGCTGAATGGTACTGCCCTTGATACTGGCCATGTAGTCAGAAACTGTAAGGCTGGAGATGATGTCCTGGTAGTCAGTAAATGTGGGGCTGATAATACTGTCCTGGGAGACAGTAATGGTGAAGCTGGGGTGCTGTCCTGGGAGACAGTAATGGTGAAGCAGGAGGTGCTGTCCTGGGAGACAGTAATGGTGAAGCTGGAGATGCTGTCCTGGGAGACAGTAATGGTGAAGCTGGAGATGTCTGTCCTGAGAGACAGTAATGGTGAAGCTGGAGATTTTGTCCAGGTAGTCGGAATTATACGCAGGAAGGAATACATATAAATGACCTCATAGGGGACAGGAGCCATAGTAGGGAAACAAGTGTAGTCAAAGATAAGATAAAACCAATATTGCAAACTAGAAATACAGCAGGAAATAGCAAACAAGAGGACTCCACTAGCAATAGTGAGGATTTATTACCAAAAACAACTGGTGGGAGCTCCATTGTTGGTGCTAGGGAGGATAGAAGTAAGACAGGGAAACATGCACCAACAGGGAATACAGTCACAGAAACCCAAGGCAAACGGAAACCAAGCCTGTGCACATACTATGCACTTGGTATCTGCTGGCATGGGAAATCTGGAAAAACAGATGGGACGTGCAACTATGACCACCCTAGAAAATGCCATGCCCATATGACAACAGGAAAATGCAAACTCCCTTCCTGTAAGCTTTTTCACCCTGAACTGTGTACCTCTTCAGTACAGGAAAGACTGTGCTATAACTTAAATTGCCAGGCATACCATCTAAAGGGGACAAAAAGATACAAAACACCAGGCCATGGGAAAACCTGGGTAGCCACAGCCACTCAAGAGGGAGAGGTTTTTTATTGCCAGGAAGAAAAAAAAACTGGCAGGAAATGGCAGAAATCGTACACCAAATCCAGTCATTCCTGGAGTGGAACCACAGTCGATGGCCTCCACTCCAAACCAACAGATACAGATACTAATGCCGGAAAAAAAATCCCCCCCCAGTACAACATACCACCAGTCCGATAACATTCTTCTTGCAAATATACAGGGTCTAAAGCCAGCAACAAACAACAAAATACCTTTCATCCGGGGACTGCTTGCAGAGGCAAAGGCAATTTTCGCGGCTTTCACTGAGACCCACATAAAGGATCACTTGGACAACGAAATATGGATCCCAGGTTACAACCATACAGATGTGACAGAGTGAACAGGCAAAAGGGGGGGGGGTTGGCCCTGTAAAATTGCAGCGTCACTTGTTTGCACAGAACTGCTAAATGCCTCAAATGATGTAGTGGAAGTTTTAGGCATAAAGGTCGAGAACCAAAAACCTAGTCATTGTGGTAGTCTACAAGCCTCCGGATGCAACATCCCAGCAATTCCAGGAACAACGGGTTAAAAATTGACCACTGTCTGGAAAATCTTCCAGCTCCTGAAACCCAACATCTTGCTCCTGGGGATTTAAACTTAAGGCACCTAAAATGGAGGAATATAGCAAATAATTTTGTTGCAGTAATAACACCAGAGGCACTCTGATGAAAACTCACACTCACGCGAGCTTTTAAATCTCTGCACAAAATTCAATTTAAACCAGCAAATAATAGAGCCAACTAGACTGGAGAATACACTAGCCCTTTCATCTTCACTAACAATGATGATCTGATAAGAAATGTCACCATATCAAAAACAATATACTCAGATCACAACATAATTGAGGTTCAGTCATGTATGCGCGGAGCCCCAGACCGACATAATGAGATTAGTCCCCGAGGAGCATTCACCAATTCAACTTCAATAACAAAAACATAAAGTGGGACCAAGGGAAACCAAGTCCTAACCGATAAAGCTGGGGAAGATATGCTAAGCAACACAGACCCCAATTTATGCCTAGAACAGATTAACTCGGTGGCACTCGATGTATGCACAAGGCTTATTCCTCTAAAGAAAAAGGAGGAGTAGATGTAAAATAGAAAGAGACAGGCGCTCCCTTTACGGGCGACGGAAAAGAAAACAGAGCGGCTAAAAGGGGTCAATATATCGAAATGAGTAGGGAGACACTGGTCAGAGAAATAGCAAGCATCGAACTTAAGCTAAAAGAATCCTTTGGAGTAGGAATCGGGGGAAGAACTAAAAGCCATAAATGAAATCAAAAGAAACCCAAAGTATTTCTTCTCCTATGCCAAATCAAAATCGAGAACAACGTCCAGTATTGGCCCCACTTAAACAAGATGGGTCCTACCCCAGATGACAGCAAGGAAATGAGTGAGCTACTCAAGTCCCAATTATGACTCAGTTTTTAGCAAGCCGCTAACCAGACTGAGAGTCGAAGATCAAAATGAATTTTTTATGAGAGAGCCAAAAAATTTGATTAACACAAGCCATCCGATGTTATCCTGACGCCAATGACTTCGAACAGGCGATAAATGACATGCCCATGCACTCTGCCCCAGGGCCAGACTCATGAACTCTGTGTTTTTCAAGAACTGCAAGAAGCCCCTAACACGAGCCTTTTCCATCCATGGAGAGGGAGCATGGACACGGGGTCGTCCCACAGTTACTAAAAACAACAGACATAGCCCCACTCCAAAAAGGGGGGCAGTAAAGCAACAGCAAAGAACTACAGACCAATAGCACTAACTCCCATATCATAAAAATCTTTGAAAGGGTCCTAAGAAGCAAGATCACCACCCATCTAAAAACCATCAGTTACACAAACCCAGGGGAACATGGGTTT